TGGGTCTCACTCAGGAATATTAGACAAAGTGGCAGCTCTGAGATGACACTGATTAGGGAGCTGGTGGAGACTCAGAAAAAAGGGACACCCCCCAGGGACTTGTCACCCCAAACTCTTAGGGAGACGCAGAGTGACACCTTGAGCTGACCCGTTCCCAAGTACCCCCTCCCCTGCTCACAGACCCTTCCCTACCTCCGCACCAGCCCCTGAAACTGCACCCTCTCTCACCACACTTGCCCAGCCCAGAGTAGGAGATATTTTGTGTAACCTTCAAGTAACACATGGAGAAGTCTCAGGAAGGCCAGATGTGGTGCTGCAGGCCTGTAATCCCAGCTACTTGGGAGGCTGAGGCAGGAGGATCATAAATTTGAGGCCAGCCTAGGCAACTTAGCAAGACCCTGTTTAAAAATCAAGTTTAAAAAGGGCTAGGGGTAGCGTTCAGTGGCAGAGCAGTTGCCTCAAATGCACAAGGCCCTGGGTTCAATCCTCAATAACACACACACACACACACACACACACAAAGAAGTCTCGGGAAATCACAAAGCTGTGCTCAGCATCACCAGCAGCCTCGGACCCACAGGACTGCCTGGTCCAGCCTTAGTCCTGCCTGGGCGGAACTCACTGACCTTGGAAACAGAATTTTATCACTTTATCCTTGGTGGCTCTCAGCCTGACAGAGCCGCATTGGCATGGGTGGGGGAGGCACAGACTCAGAGCTCCCTCCTTCACTGTCCAAACTTCTGTGCACTTCGGGGCTGCTGCTGTCCAAGTCCCTAATAGCTCAGATTCACTCTCTCACAAAACGTCTTTCCCAGTTCCACCTCCTGCCTCCCAAGTGCGAGGGCCCAAGGTCGATCCCCGGTACAAAAACAAAAACACAAAAAAGTTTCCCGGAGTACTTTTTTTACTGTTCCCCAGTAGTGAGGACTGAATGCAGGGTCTTCAAAATGAGCTACATCCCCCTGGCCCCTTTTTTATTTTTTGCATTTTGAGATAGGATCTCCCTAAATTACTAAACGGCCCAGTCTGGACTCAAACTTGCGAACCTTGTGATCCTCCTGCCTCGGTTCCCCCAAGTGCTGGGATCACAGGCATGCTCCATCCCATCCAACCTCCCAAGGCTTCTTGACAACCTTGCTTCTGTTTGAAATACACAGAAACACCACTTGCACACAGCTGAGAGGGGGGTCAAGTCCTGACCCTGAGAGCAAGGTCAGCTTGGGCCGTGACAACAGATCCCAGGTGACTCCAGCAGCAGCCATTTATTTTTCCCAGGTCTGGAAGCTCAAGTCCGAGATCAATAGGTGAGCAGGTCATATGGGGAACTGGGATTTCCCTATATAGATGGAGGGAGAAGGACGCAAACATTCAGTCCATATCACCGACCTAACCTAAAACTCCCTAGCATAGGACCTAACATGAAAGTAGATTTTGGGTCCTGGGTTCAAGTCACAGCTCTGCCACATCCTGGTGAGCTGGTTCATCTGGAATCTCCAACCCTGTGTCCTCAGCCGTGACGGTGGTATCAGGAGCGCCTCTCCTCAGCCAGAGGAGGCGTCCACAGGACCGAGAGTGGGGTGCTCAGCCCGCGGCCTGCACAGGTCCTGTAGGGGGTGAGCATTCTCCCCAGGGGACCCCAAAGTCATGGTACGTACCCCCTAGGTCTCAGCAATGGAACCCTAGAAGCACTGGGAGCCTCCTCCCAGCCAGTGGGACCTGTCTGGCCCCTTCTCCTGCTAATTTGCCTGCTTTCTCAGCCCAGTCCAGGGTGGTCCTCAGGCCTACAGGGTGGAGATGAAAACATTCTTCCTCCCTGCCCCTTAGAGGACGTAGCTGTGGGATTCAGGGACCTGAAGTAGGAGGCTCACCGTCGGCCCCTGGATGACACACCCTTCCCAATAAGACCCAGATGTAAGCCGCAGAGCCTGGAGAGGCTGCAGGCCACAGGTTAATAGCAGACTTGGTGCTTCGTCCTGCGTCTAAAAATGCAGTTATTTGTCAGGCCTCGCTCCAAGTTTGCCCAAGTGTTATTTTGTTGACCGCCGGTTAGGTGTGCACACGGCACATCATTTCATTTCATTTCCGTGGCAGTGTGTGCTGCTGATGTGTCTCCATGGTCACTGGGCTCCGGGAAAGCCAAGTGTCTAAGGGGCAGAGACCAGTGTGCGCTTGGCTGGGGCACCCAGGGGGGCTCCGGGCCCCTTTGCCCCTGGTACCATGGACAGAGCCCTTCCCAGTGCGCTGGCTCTTCCTGACCTGTGCTGTATGATTTTCATCTTTTTCTTTTTCCTTTTTTGCAGTACTGGTGACTGAAGCTAGCAGCTCGCAAATGCTGGACAAGCACTCTACCACTCTACCACTGAACTATACCCCCAGGTCTTTTTGTTTTTGAGATAGGACTTCACTGTGTAGTTCAGGCTGGCCTTGAACTTGAAGCAATCCTCCTGTGTCAGCCTCCCAAAGTAGTAGGATTACAGGCGTGTGTCACCTCATTCAGTCTTCCAGTTCCTTTTTAAATGGAGGTGAAATTCACATTACACAAAATTGGGCATTTTAAAATAATATGATTTGATGGGTTTTGTAGCTTGTGTCTAGAAGTTCCCCCCAAACTTCAAGCAATCGTAGATCAGGCTTTTCAGAGGTGGCTGGATCTAAGTGTGTCATGCTAGGATTAAGGGTGTGTGTTTACTAAATTAGTCCACTGATTGGTTTGTCAAAGTTCTGAGTGTGGATAATGGGGAGCCCCACCCTGGGTGTGAGTACTACCCTAAGAGTACGTAGCCTGGATATGAAGAGGTTGCTATTGTCACTCATTGCTTGCCGCTTGCTGCTTTTGCTTCCTTTTGACTGCATAGATTTTTTCTCCTCTGTGATGACCTTCTGTCATGCCATCCTGCCTTGGAGTCAGCCAATTTTGGACTGAAACTCCTGTAAAACTGTGAGCTAACATAAACCTTTCCTCCTTTAAAGGGCACAACATTGGATTACAACAACCCACCCTATACTTTTCTACCAAAAAAATTGTATTTTAGCATTATAGTAGCCAGCTGGATGTCTCAGCAACTGTGCCTGGGGGATACAAGAAGCAACCTTTGTGTTTGCCCACTTGGTACAATGAACAGAAAGGTTTGTGTGTGTATGCAAAAGTGCCCAAGTGGGATTTTAACCCACATAATGCTGTATCTAATGAGTTTTATATATGTTTACCTGAGCATCACCGGGGGTAAAATACACCCACATCACTCTTCTGTTATGAAAACATGTAGTAGTTTTCATGTGACTAACAGTAGCTGCAAAAAGCCAGCAACAGGTGAATTTTGCCTGTGAAATCCTCATTGCTAAATTTCTGTGCATTTAGGATTTGTCTTTTTAAAAAGTTTTCTTTTGATTTTTCTAGTAGAAGTAGCCAAATCACACATGAAAATAGATTTACAAGTTTTGGAAGTCAAAAGTGAATCATCAGATTACTCACGCATGGGCAATGAAAATGATAATGACTTTGATGTTGGCTGTATGAACCAAAGTTCCTGTGACGGTGAAATGGAATAAGAATCAACTGATACAGACACAGGGAATACAGACCTCCTTGATTCAGAGGATGAAGAAAACAGCAATGTGAGTGCATATTTGACTAGTCAAAAATGTTGCAATACGGTCATGCAACCAAATGGAACAATCCAATATTAGAACTAGGTCCAAAAATATAGTGAGGATCTTGGCAGGGCTGAAACCTATTAGACAGAATGCCAGCACTGTCATTCAATATTGGAAATTGTAATACATGAAATGCTACAAGATGTTGTAAAATACACAAAAAGTACAAGTAAACATTCTGCATGCAGTGATAGCCACATTCAAAAATGTGTTGGGCTGAGGATTTAGCTCAGTGATGCTGCTGCCTGCCTCGCAAGCAAAAGGTCCTAAATTCAATCCGTGGTACCCAAAGAAAGTGTTTGTTATGACAACTCCCTAGTTTAATTGAAAGAATTCACAGGTCTGCTATACTTAGCAGGGATTTCTCATGGTAATTGCAGGAATGCTGGCTGTGACACCCTCACAAAAGTGGCCTGCCGTGAGCTGCACAGGCTCGTTGAGCCTGACTGCTAATCCTCCTCGGTCTCTCCCACCTGAACACAGAGACTGGTGTGGGGCAGCCAAGGCCCAGCCAGCAACCAGCCCAGGATGCCACCAGAGGTGCTGGGCGCCAGAGTCAGACCAGCAGAGAGACCCAGATCCGTGTGATGGACCCCGTACATGGCCCTGCAGCCTGGCTTCTGGGTGCTCCCACAGAGACAGCTGAGGACTCTCCCACTGCACCCCAGTGTGCCAAGTTTGCTGACACAGCAAAGCGAACCCAGGGCCCAGGTGACAGGAGTTAATTTTGTACAGTTCTGACAGCTGAAAATTCAAGATCCGGATGTTGGCAGGGGTGGTCTTCCCATTGATGGGTGAGACCTTCACAAAGTCTTTTCCTGGCACCTCTGTCCCAGTTGCCTCTCATGAAGATGTCACTCACGCTGGATCAGGGCTGCTCTAAGACCCTCCTGAGAACTTTATCACCTGTTCAAAATCTGTCTCCAAACATGGTCACATTGGGAGGTACTGGGGTGGTTAGAGCCCCAACACAGGAAGTGGAGGGGAACAAAATTCAGGCCAGAACAGGTGCCCACTCAGGAAGTTGCCTTTTCGGCAGCCAGCAGGTTAAAGCAGAGGCCGGGGTGGGGGAAGGAGTCTGCAGCAAGCACATTATGGGGAAAGCACTGCTTGGGGGCCTTGGCCATAATTAGAGAAATTGCAGCCAGGGCTGCAAACAGCTGAGGCTCCCTGGCTTGTAATCAGGGTGGGAATGCCAGGAGTCTGGATCTGCTGGAGTCTGAAGAAGGGAGAGGAGAGCAGGGGTCCAGGCTCTGTCGTGGGCTCAGCGTGGACCGCAGCGACTGTGCACGAATGAGGGCTGTTCTCGGCAATCAGGCTGCCCGGCAAATTCCAGCGTCACTCTGGAGGGATGTACACCTTGCCAAGGGCCCCAGAGGAACCCTGTGGAGGGGCTTCAGCCACGGCCGTGTAGAGCTCAGGCTCCCTAGAAAGAGAGAGAGGAGGCTCTGGGCGGACAAGTGGTGGGGAAGAAACGGGCTCCCATGCGCACGATCTGTAGTCACCTACAGAACAAGGTCCAGGGTGTCGCCCTGGGCTTCCAGCAAACGATGAGGCCACCCGTGTGGGTGCCCTTCCCCGGGAACCCTTACTCAGGAGAATGGGTCTCTCGTCGAAATCCAGAATTCCCTGGGTGAGAAGTGTACCACTGGGGTTCCATTGAGGGCAGGGGTTACTTGTTTGGTATCTCAAGCCCAGAAGGATAAATTAATCCTAGGGAAAAAAGAGATGAATTTGTTTCAAGTTCAGCTACTTCAATTTGGCTACAGCAGTTAAAAACATGGGTTTCAGAGCTGGGTGTGGTGGCACAAGCCTGTAATCCCAGCATTTGGGAGGCTGAGGCAGGAGGATCACTTCAAATTCCAGGACAGCCTGCATTACATAGTGAGACCCTGTCTCAAAAAAACAAAACAAAACACACAAAAAAGAAACAAACAAAGATATCAGAAAGTTATCAGATGGTATCTATGTTCTGAAAAGGGGACAATTCAACAGACTGATGAATAAGATATAAGAGTTATCCAGCTACAGAAACAAGGATCAATTTGTGATATTTTAATGATGCAATAAAAGACATGTTAATTTGGGACTTCATTCTTAATCCTTTCCAACTATTTGTCAATAGATCAAGTTGGGGGCCTACAGCTCCCTGATGGGGGTGAGGACCAGCAGGTGGGGGACAGAGCAGACCCGCAGGCAGCCAACGGACAGGAATTCCAGCTTCCCTCTGAGACAGGAGTTCAGGGTGTGGTAAGGCTGGTTGGGGAAGCCGGCGTGACCTGTTAACTGCAAGATCCAGGACACATGTGCAGAACAGTTCCCAAAGCCCTCACTATGTAATTGAGGCTGACCTGGAACTCACTATGTAGCCCAGGTTGGTCTCGAACTCACAGCGATCCTCCTGCCTCAGCCTCCCGAGTGCTGGGATTACAGGTGTGCACCACCACATCCAGCTCCAGCAGGTTTTCTATAAGGTGCCGTGGACCTGACCTCAGCCTGAGATGTGGGATCTCAGTACCACCTTTCAGGACCTGGATGTAGAAGTTCTGGTAGGTTTCCTCGAGATCTGGACAACAAAAAAAGGAAAGGCTGCCATGCGGAGCCATGGCTATCACAATTTTCCATGCCAGGCTACGCTGTGTTTCCCACAGCGAGTTTATCTTTGTCCTCTCCCTCTTTTTCTATTTACTGGGTCCAAACTCACTCTGTAGGGCCAGTGTGTCTCTCACTCTTCATTTTTGCTTCCTTGAATAAATTTTGTCACTGCTCTTAGCTCCCTTTGTTCAACTCTTTGCTCAAGGTGAGAAGAGTCTGGAATCCAACTCCGGAAGGAGGCAAGCTGTCCAGAACCCTGGACCATTTAGTTGGTGAGCCACTTTTTCAGCACGAGTTACCCAATCACACCCCTTCTACCCTTTGCCCAGAAGAACCAAGAGAAGGCAGCGGGAGCCTGCCGGAGCTTGCAGAGTAGAGGCGAGGATGGAGACTGATTCACCCGTCCACGATCCAATCACTTTCCAAAAGACCCGCCTGTGAACACAGGTGTCTATGGGGGTCTAGGGCCCCTTTATCCTCTTATAAAGTATCAAATAATTCAGAGGGCTTTCATTTATCTGCATTTCACTCTTCGATATTGGCTGTGTTAGAAATTAAATCTCCGAGGTGTGACAGCACGTACCTGTCATCCCAGCTACTCAGGAGGCTGAGGCAGGAAGATCACAAGGCTGGGCAACTCAGTGAGATACTGTCTCAAAATAAAGAATGTAAAGGTCTAGGATGTAGCTCAGTATAAGAGCACTCTATGTTCAACTCCCAGCACCAACAATAAATACATAAAACTGAAGGAGTTGACATTTATTAACTCTGAAAAATAGCACAAGAAATCACTATAGACTAACATAGATCACGGTTTTTATGAAAAAACTATTTTCAAAAACAATATGATATTATTGAGAAAAAAAAAAAAACCTTTAGCGTGAATCTCTTTATACATTCTGGCTTCACAGAAACCAGCTGGATTCTCACATCTCGTACGACATTTGGTCTTTGTTGTGAAGATTTCAGCATAGAAATAAAAACTCCTTGAGCCACTCTGCGAACTGCTGAGGGCTGATCAGGCTCTCAGCTTCCTTTTGGGGAGAGAAATGAGGAATAAGAGACAGAGACAATTTTGAGATATTAAGGGGGCGCTGGGAAGAGACCTGCCTCTAGCAGACAGACTCAAATAAAACTCTGCAGTTGACCTGCTTTTATTAGCCAGTGAGAAGCACAGGGGAGGGGGAGCCTGTGGTTGTAGATAAGGGAGGCCCCTCCATGACAGGGCTGGACAAGCCGCCGCCAACCATTCTACCCGTGGTCAGCGCATGGAGTCAGTGGGAAGGGCCTGGGTTCGAATCCTCAGGATGAACCTTCCATCTCTGCTGGCTTCCAGGCACATCCAGGGCCCCCTCCATGGAGGTGGCTTTTGACCCGTCCCCTCTTGTGCTTTTGTGCTACTGGGATTTGGACAGAGCCCCCAGCTCTGAGCACTGGCTGCCCCGCGTGCGGTTGTGGTTCTTGTCCACAGTTGCGCATCCAGTGGCCCCACGCCCACTCCTGACTCACTTTCCCACCCCATCGGGCCAGCTTCCAAGCTGCATCTGAGCTTTAGGCCACATCCAGCCGAGCAGAATCCCCAGCCGGCTCTGCCTCAGGTGCTGACCCTCTTTCGGAGGCAGGACAGTCATGTTATTACTCCCCCACTTAAAAAAAATGACTTTCAGGGTGATAAATACTCACTCGTACCCCACAGAGAGGACAAGTACGTGGGTCACACCAGAGGTGCGGGGTTGATCCTCAGGGTGAGTGGGACAGCACGGGGTAATCGCTTTGGGCCAGAGGAAGAGCAAATTAATCCAGGTCCTTGCCCCCATCTTGGCACCTCTACCCCTGGGCAAAGGGAGGCAGGTGGCATGCTGGGTAACAAGGCTTAGGCTTGAATTCACTGAAATGCCGTGCTAAGGAGACTGTTTTGTGGACAGATTTTTTTATGCACTGAAGATATTCAAATCAGATGTGATCCTCCAAATCAGCCATGGCGGCTCATGCCTGTAATTGCAGCACTTGGGAGATTGAGGAAGAGGGGTTGCTGCAGATTGAGATTGTGCCTCAAAAAACAAAACAAAACAAAAATTTTAAAGAAAGAAATAAAATAAGAGATCCTCCACCACCTGCCTCACTGCCCCTGGTACTGGGAGTTGAACTCAGAGAGCACCGAACTGTACCTCCAACACGTTTCTTTTCATTTTCCTTTTGTACCGGGGATTGAACTCGGGACCTTGTGCTTGTGAGGCAGGTGATGGCACCACTGAGCTAAATCCCTGGATAACTCTTTAAATGTTATTTTGAAATAGGGTCACACTAAGTTGCTCTGCTGGCCTCAAACTTGTAATTCCTGCCTCAGCTTCCTGAGTGGCTGGGATCACAGACATGTACCATGATGCTCACGTGTCCAGGTGCTTGCCTAGCATGAACAAGACTCTGGTTCTATTCCCTTCACCGAACCACAACAACAATAAGCAACTTAAAATCTTGGATTAGAAAGAAGACCCCATGACACGTAAGATATATACATGTGAAGTTCTCCCAGATAGACTGTTTTTTATGTGAAAGAGGAAGAGTTATCCTAGGTGAGTCAGGAAAGCCAGACCTCCTGGCTTCAGAAACCTGAAAGCAAGTGTTACCTGTTACCCCTCTTCCTTTCCTCTGCCACAGGCTGAGCAGATTTTTCTCACTTTGAAAGAATTTCAAGAAGTTTGGAATATTAAAAACAACCACAATACAACAACAAACCCCCTGACCCTGGTCTTTTTTTTCAAGATGTACATCTTATTTGTGACTGTATTATAAGAATGGATGTGAGATGGGCCAGGGATTTAGCTCAGGTGTTCCACCACCTGCCTTACAAGTGAAAGGGCCCAAGTTTGATCCTGAGTACCAAAA